TGCAGATGGTGTTTGCTAAAGGTGATGATCAAATGAAGAGGTATAGATATTTCTGCAGTCTGTTATTACGGTTGCAACTTCTTATGGCATTGAATATGATGAAACGTGTTGAAATTTGAAGCAAAGGTTGATGAGCACTATTAAATGTTTAGGGGTCTAGAATTAATAGGACTATTTTTCAGTGCGTAAATCAATAGTGTGCACACATAGATTTTGGTATACTGTTGAAATGGACGCTAGGCACGGCCACTGTTTCGAGTCGTGGCAAAGTTTTTGCTTCTGCCAGACGGTGGCCGTTGCATTTTTTCTCAATTTCTAAACTGAAAGGATATAGTTTCGTCATCCAGCTACTAAGTTAAGTGCATTGTGCGACCCCGTGAGCTGCGGATTTCATTTGGAATGTTTTCGACTGTGTTTTATTGTGAATTGTAGATTCAGAAAATGGCGGCGTGGCCTGTCGTCACAATATTGGTGGTGCCCTTATGTGATTAAGACTGATCGCGTGTGCAGCTGCTGATTTGCTGGTTACCTCTGCTACCTTCGATGATGAACTGCATTTCTAATGTCGGACTGTTTGTGTAAGCACTTCTGATGGCTACTGTATGCTTTTGATGCGTGTGTATGCTAGTGCATATGCTGAGACTGCAGTCTTGTCATTCTATGCACAAGGGACTGCGACGAACACTATGTGTGTTTTTCGTTAGCACAGGGGCGGAGCAACTATGGGGTGACCTGTTTGCTATGAAGCTAAAACTAACATAACATAACAAAGATTTTACATGTTTTTTTGGGGTGAGGGGAAAGGGCCTAATTTCGAGGCAGCCAGCTAAGCATTTTGTTTTTAAAGACGACACCGCTGAACATGTTCTTTCTTTCTTAAATTATTCCTAAATTTGATTTTCTGTCAGGAGGCAGAAGCGGCTAAATTTAAAATAAAATATTTTAGAAAGTCTAATAAAGATATTGTAAAAAAAAAATAAATAAATAAATAAAATAAAACTTCAACAAGATCTTCCCATGATGGAAATATTACGTGAGAGTCCCAATCTCTTCCACTGGTAGGGGAACTATTACCACCACAAGAGTTTTTAAATCGATGCATAGAAATGGTAGCTTTTTGTGTTGTGGTATCAGTTTGTGTTTGTCAATGCTACTGACAGATGTCATCGAGCATAACCGGGTCCCATCTGCTGCATTTGGTGTTCTTCTGTCCAGACATCAACATGGTCTACACATTTCTAGAAGAATCCTTAGAATTACTTGAAAAAAAAAAAAAAAAAAGCAACCCATATGCTGTGAAAGAGGTAAGAACTCGATTACAACTTATTGCAAACATCAGAAGGAGTCATAATTTTTTCGTCATGCTATTAGAAGATGAAAAACTGTAGCATGCTGTGACCATAAGAGTGAGCAAACCAGGTTTCTCTGTTTGATACACTTGTGTCTGAGTTCTACTTTCTTTAGCTTTTTTATGCAGCTGTGGAAGCTACGGTAGCCTAGTGACTAGATGATAGTCAGCCGGACTGAAGGTCTTGGGTTCCATTCCTAGTGAAGGCGTATTTCCCCCCTCGAATTTCTCCTTGGCTCCCAGGTCGAAACGGCCTAACATAAGTTCTAGGTTGTGTCATGGAAAATTCAAAGTTCTAGGTTGTGTCATGGACAATTCAAAGTTCTAGGTTGTGTCATGGACAATTCAAAGTTCTAGGTTGTGTCATGGACAATTCAAAGTTCTAGGTTGTGTCATGGACAATTCAAAGTTCTAGGTTGTGTCATGGACAATTCAAAGTTCTAGGTTGTGTCATGGACAATTCAAAGTTCTAGGCTGTGTCATGGACAATTCAAAGTTCTAGGTTGTGTCATGGACAATTCAAAGTTCTAGGCTGTGTCATGGAAAATTCAAAGTTCTAGGTTGTGTCATGGACAATTCAAAGTTCTAGGCTGTGTCATGGACAATTCAAAGTTCTAGGTTGTGTCATGGACAATTCAAAGTTCTAGGCTGTGTCATGGACAATTCAAAGTTCTAGGTTGTGTCATGGAAAATTCAAAGTTCTAGGTTGTGTCATGGACAATTCAAAGTTCTAGGTTGTGTCATGGAAAATTCAAAGTTCTAGGTTGTGTCATGGACAATTCAAAGTTCTAGGCTGTGTCATGGACAATTCAAAGTTCTAGGTTGTGTCATGGACAATTCAAAGTTCTAGGTTGTGTCATGGAAAATTCAGGCTACTAGTGCACTGTTGACCACAATTACCTACCGAGTGTCTATTGATAATATAAACCAGGTGCCAGTAGCGATATCTATGTCTGGGTTTGTCAAGGAGGCTAACACACAACAGGAGAGCCACAAGACATGGGACTCATGACCAGGTGCGGCCCCGGAGTGTTAGGATGCTAATGGGACCAAAACACATGTGGAAGGAGGGACCAAAATACATGTGGAAGGAGGAACCAAAACACATGTAGAAGGAGGAACCAAAACACATGTGGAAGGAGGAACCAAAACACATGTAGAAGGAGGAACCAAAACACATGTGGAAGGAGGAGCCAAAACACATGTGGAAGGAGGAACCAAAACACAGGACAATCCGGAAAGACAGGCTGACGATGTCTAAAGACAAACTGATTCCCTGAAAAGACCGGCGCTTTTCCATCACTAGCTATTTGCTATAAGTTGACGGCAGACCAGCCTGACGCTCACGTCTGTCTGGACGTTCAAGCGAATTTGTAAGGGAGTAGATCTCCTCAGATAATTTAGCACAAAAAATCAGACCACAATTATAACCGATACAGTAGGTTGAACGTAGTCAACTTTTTGTTTTGTTTTTATAAATGGATGGATGGAAGGATTCATCCCTCTTCAAACCGATCTCTCTTTTGAGCGTCTTCCCAGTCACGGCTCGCAGGTTTGCAAGGTACTTAATGCGGAACGTACATCGGTACATCAGTGCAGAAACGTGGCATACCTGGCGACCTTAGGTTCCTCGAGCATGCGACTACGATCTGGGAGGCTATCCATAGATCAAAAGTGGAGAAGACGAATGTGCACGTGATATGGCTGAACCTCGCTAGCGCTTAAGTGTATGTACCCCTCCCGTCACCCGTTTTCAGCGGTTGAACCAGGCAGGTCCTTCGCATGTTCCACGTTCCACTAGAGATCACAGTAATGATGGAACAGTATTGTTCGGGCTCGTTTCTGCATTTCTTTACTTTCTATACGATCCATTAAAATATGTAGTGGCGACAAGGTTCAATGTGACACAAAACCGTTGTGTATAGACCGGTTAGCAGCCTTGGTCGGGTGTCAGACAAGAGACTACAGTCAAACAACCGTGTCAGACAAAACTACAGTCTACCGTGTCAGACAGAACTACAGTCAAACTACCGTGACAGACAAGAAGGCTGTCCAGTGAATACACGAGTCAGTATCGAGTAGCCTGCTCACTATAGAACACAACAAGCTGATCGGAAAGTCTCAGGTCTGATGTCTCCAGTACATGCTGATCCCAAGGCTCCTCTGGCCTCTGCTTATCTACGAGGTAAGCACGAGCGCCTTGAGGCCACGGCAACGAGCATTAAAACAGACGTTGGAAATGGCTGGCAGTCTCTCAGACCTGACTAATGAGGATCTGTATTTTGAAAGAGCATATCTGGTACTGCCCCTCGGGTCTGTCGTCAAGTTTAGTCAACAAGACCAGACTTGGCATCTTGTGGCGCGGCCTATCAGCACGTGTAGCCCAGCCAGCGTTTAAGACCGGGCGGAAATGAAAGTCGAGTGGTGTAATCGATTCTGCCCAAAGAATCGCTGGTTGATGAAGTCATTTGGTGCACCTGGACCAACCGTCTCGGCATGTTTCAAGTGGAGCTCCAATGGCGATCGAAAGCTTCGGTCAGGAAACACAGCGACGTGGGGATACAGCAAATATGGTATGTGAGCTGCGAGTCCAGAAGGCAAACCAACAGTTGTGGGAAGGCCAGTAGGTAGCATAGGAAGGAGACTTGCAAAGGTCCTTCTCTTGGAATGGTACATGGCTAAAGGCTCCGCTGGGACTGAGCTTTCCTTTCAGGTCTACTTAGGATGCATTACCACCAGCTGCTCACCTGGTAAAGTAAGGCAAGACCGGCACCGCTGCGTGATCTTTGTGGAGAGCGGAGCAGACACTCGAGCATGTACTAACTCCCTCCTAGGAAAAAAAAATTAGGTCAAGGTCGGTTCACATGGGAGCACAACAACGGGGTTTAGAGAGGAAGATCCCCGTTGTGGACCAAATAAGAATGAAGGCCAACACAGGAAATCCCAGCATCAAATGAGCACTATGAAGAGTCACGGGAAGTCAAAGCAAAAACAGCGTGATGTTGACGATCTCAGGCATGGAGTGTCGATTGGTTTATACAAATTTAAATTTGCTACCACATGCCTGATGTCGATGTGGAAAAAAAAGTACTTTACTCGATACTTTTTGCTCGGTATGGTTTCGAACAGAAGAACTTCAGACTCAAAGACAAGCCTCCAGCCATTTCATGTGATTTAACAATTATGTGATACATTCCGATGAGGAAAAGTAAATGTAACATTAGACATTTATTTCATGCTCTACTTTCTTTTACATTTATGTAACTTAGAGTGTTAACATTTCTAATAGCAACAGTTTACAAAATGAGAACAATATACTCCTAAGTTGTTAGTATAGTTAGTACCGAATAAACAGGAAACAGGTGACAGAGTTAACGATTATTTGCTTTTCCTTTTCAGAACTTCGCAAGCCATCTCCAGCATTTGTTGGCTGCATTGTGGAATTTCTTGGCAGTCGTAATATTCGATTTGCCATTTCTTTCTCAACAATACGACACATATGCTGTTGTTAATATCAACACAAATTGGTCTGTTAGTTGATAGAGTGACGACGGTCGCAGTACAATCACATACAACTGGTTCTTTTGTGTGATACTGCTATGGATTTACATCAGTTACTTGAGTGTTCGAAACATTTTTCATAATAAAGACAATGGGAACTTATCGGCAGCTCTGCCGACAGAAAATCTACATTCTGATTTGTTGTCTTTGTGTTATGTTCTTTCTGTATTTGTTGGTTCCTTGCAATTCTGGGCCCAAGATGATTATGGTACCTAAAGAGAACAACAAAGTCGTATACGACAACGAACAGCAAGCAATTCCCTACGACGACGACATGCCAATTATTTTTGTGGGAGGAATGCCTCGCAGCGGGACCACCCTGATGCGAGCTATGCTGGATGCACATCCGGAAATTAGATGCGGAGAAGAGACCCGCGTGATTCCGCGAATTCTTGGTATGCGAATGCAATGGGAGAAATCCCCTCTGGAGAAGAAGAGGTTAGACGAAGCCGGGGTGACTAGTGATGTTCTAGACTCGGCTGTTCGAGCTTTTATCCTGGAAATAATCGCCAAGCATGGCACTGCAGCTCCACATTTATGCAATAAAGATCCATTTACTCTGAAATCTATGGTCTACCTCAGCAGACAGTTTCCACAGTCTAAGTTTATTCTGATGATTCGAGATGGTCGAGCCGTCGTCCATTCCATCATTACCAGAAAAGTGACCATATCCGGCTTTGACTTGTCCAGTTACAGGAAGTGCCTGGAGAAATGGAACTCGGTGGTAGAGACGATGTACACCCAGTGCTTGCATGTGGGCTCCTACAGATGCTTGCCTGTTTATTATGAGCAGCTGGCTCTGCACCCAAGAGAGTGGATGGTTCAAATCTTAAGGTTTCTAGACATTCCTTGGAACGAGTCGGTACTTCATCATGAGGAGTTTGTGGGGAAGCCAGGTGGCATTGCACTTTCCAAGTAGGTGTTGTTCGGTTTTGTTTGTTTCTTACTGTGCAGTTTTTAGCTTTGAAAAAGTTCTTCGTTTTTGTCATTCTCGTTCTGTCATATGAGTTTTACATGCATAAGTACATATTTACATTCATGGAATAATAGTTGCCACTGTTATATTTAGGCTTCCAGTGATAGATCCAACCGTACATTCGTTGGCTCTGATAAAACTCTTTACACACACTCGCTTAAAACTTACCTCAGTATACATTCATCTTTTCATTAAGTCCGTCTTGCCTTTCCGCTGTGTTCTGAGACTCAGACACATTTCGCTTGTCACTACCCTATGCACTGTTCCCTTCACAGACGCTAACGATCTGTTCGCGCTTCTGCATTATTCATGAGCTCCCATAGGGTCTAGATTAAAATAACCCGTTTCACGCATCGATTCACACCCAGCTAATTGTTGCTAATATGTGTATCTCACCAGATAACCTCACCGTCCTTTTCACCGCTTGACCTCACCATCCTTTTCAACACATGATCTCGCCATTCTTTTCACCATACGATCTTACCATACCTTTCACCACATGACGTCACCATTTCTTTTCACCAAATGACCTCGCATTCCTTTTCATTCCATTATCTCACTGTTCTATTTAACACATGACCTCACCGTCCTTTTCACCACTCAGTCAGACTATCGCTTTCACCTTACTCTACAATTTCCCTCTTGTTTTGTTAGTATTCACCCCTCACCCCATCCAACCCGACAGCCTACTTTCCAGGATAGTATCATGTGGGTTTAACATCTGATTCTGTGGATTTAACATCTCCTTCTGTGGGAATAACATCTCATTGATAAGAATAAAATCAGAGCAAATACCTAAGACCCCGTTTAACAGTAAAACAGTTATACCGGGTATCTGTCGGTTAGCAAAGTAACCTTTGGTCAAAACCACCGTGGATCGATTGATGGGATTATTTTATTTGTAGACTGGCTCTCACTCGTCACGTGTATGATAGGTCACAGTAGAAGTAACAAAAACAGTTAAGGACCTTTTTTTCACGCCCTCAGACGTATTAGGCGTATAGGGCTAGACCCATGCTGTATGGGCCAGTCGGCACTTGGTTGGTGATGTAATCAACATCTCGCCGGCCGCCTTTAATTCTCAAGACTGCACCTGGTACTCACTCAAAGCTGGGTCGACCTAGAGCCAAGGTCATCTTTGAAGACAGCTAGGTTCCGTCAGGACCCGAACCTACAACCTTCCAACCCGCAGGCGAGCATCTAGCCCTATTCACGGTACTGCATGTGATTCCTGCATGACAGGTTGCAGTCAAACGATTCTTCACTTTCTTGACGAATTCCGGAAACACAGGCGAAATATTTTTCAGCCAATCTTTCATTCCATTAAGAGGGTCGCTGGGGAATATTTTAAACGCAAGAAGCCTATTTCATTATCCAAGCTGAATGTACATGTTTTGGCCGCCATGCAAATTTCGTTCTCAGCACAGACAGACACTCAGATATTTTCGCAGAGACAAACACAAGGACAGACAGGCAAAAAGATACACATAACGGCTCCGTCGACACTAGAGAACAGTTATGCAAATTTCGTTTTCCACACAGACAGACAGGCAGAAAAACTCGCAGAGACAGACACAAGAACAGACAGGCAAATAGATACACACAACGCCTCCGTCCACACTAGGGAACATCATCATCATGTAGCAGGTCCTTTGTAGAACGTCGCTTTCATCACGGTCTGCCTGAAAGAAACTTGGTCTCTCACCAGGTCTCCCGCCTCATGTACTTTCATACTCAAGGAGTCACCTATATCTTGTGCCCATCTTCGTGTCGGTCAGCCCCTGCCCCTCCTTCCTGGTACCATGCCCTCTGCTATAATTTTTTCCAATCCGTCGTGGCGCTTGATATGACCAAAATTTTTCAGCTTCCGAGGCAGGATGCTGTTTATTAGCCAATCTTACTTGATGTTCAGATCTTTAAAAATGTCAGCATTTGTCCTCTTTTGCGTCCAAGATATTCTGCGAATCTTTCTATCATTTTTGGCTTCCATTATGAGTTTCTTGGGATAGTAATGTGGTAGTTTCCCTTTGTTTTCCACATCCACATGGCTTTAGACTACGTCCTCAGCCTTCAGCAACCCTTTCGATTGCTAGAACAAATTAGTGCCCTGCTCTGTGGTCCTCCTGCTAACAGCAGAGGGCACCCCAGAGGTATCCACCTATCCCGGCGGATACTCGGTCCTCATAACTGTGTTGGCCACACCGCAGTGTGTTTACCATCCTCTACCGCGGGAAGGTGCAGTTGGAGGTTTCCCTTCACTGAGTTTTGAGACCAGAATGGCATTTCCCAAAACTGCAGTAGTTTCAGAGGACTTGGGAACAGTCATGCAAATTTAGTTCTCCACACAGACACTCAAAAATATTCGCAGTGACAGACTGAAGGACAGACAGGCAAATAGATTTACACAACTGCTCCGTCGACACAAGGGGACAGTCATGCACATTTTGTTCTCTACACAGAAGACACGCAGACAAACACAATGACATAAAAATAAAAAATACATGCAACCGCTCTGTCCAGAGGCATGCTGAATTACCATTTCATAGACTGTGACTGCAACCTAAAGAAAGCTCATTTGGTGCTCAATTGTGTGTGTGTGTGTGTGTGTGTGTGTGTGGGTGGGTGGGTGTGTGTGTGTGGGTGGGTGTGGGTTTGTTGACTGTTGTCACTCGAGGCATTAGATGGCAAGAACAGAGTCTCTTCTCATACAATCGTGCGAAAACCTGAAGAACGGGTTTATTGTGAAACCACCTAAGGAGGAATTTCAACCCTAGTATTCGAGGATATTCATCATCATCATGTACCCTGCCAATCGGCACTCATGCATCTCCACATATCAGATCCCTGGTTGCCTGGAACAGCTTTCTTGATAATATCCCTCCTTGCCATCCTTTCAGCCCATCCAGCATCATCTCTCTTGGTCTGCCTCTATCCCCTTTTCCCACTGATCTTTCCAGTTGTCACGATGTTCTCCAGTGTCTCTCTTCTCATTATGTGTCTCTTTCTTATTGTTGTATATAGAGATGTACTTTCATTAGCTTCTTTCAAACAATCTTTGTTAGTTACTCTAGCTGTCCAATGTATTCTTAACAATCGTCTCAGAAACCCCATCTCTGTTGCTTCCAAATTCTTCCTAATTTGTTCACTAACATTCCAAGATTTGCTGCCATACAGCAGAACAGGTTCTAAATAGCATTTTAACACCTTGTTTGGAAAAAGAATAGAGCATTATATTTGACAGGGTCCCTTCTCCACCTTTCTTTCTTTCTTTCTTTCTTTCTTTCTTTCTTTCTTTCTTTCTTTCTTTCTTTCTTTCTTTCTTTCTTTCTTTCTTTCTTTCTTTCTTTCTTTCTTTCTTTCTTTCTTTCTTTCTTTCTTTCTTTCTTTCTTTCTTTCTTTCTTTCTTTCTTTCTTTCTTTCTTTCTTTCTTTCTTTCTTTCTTTCTTTCTTTCTTTCTTTCTTTCTTTCTTTCTTTCTTTCTATGGCTCTGTCCGTCCTTCTAGCTTTGATTTCTAATCAGCACTTCCATCTTCTAAATTATGGCGTTTTAATATTCTTTCAGAATGAAACCGAAGTGACAAGGTTGCTGAAATATTGATACTGCCATTTTTATCTCCTAGCTATAATCTTTCTCATTCTCTCTATTTGTCGGTCTCTCTCTCTCTCTCTCTCTCTCTCTCTCTCTCTCTCTCTCTCTCTCTCTCTCTCTCTCTCTCTCTCTCTTCTCTATTGCGTGTACTCTTTTTATCATCCCTCGTGAACACCCTTCTACTGACACAAGAGGCAGAGACAGCATGTTGCCAGCAGCAGCTGAATGAGGAGATATTGGCATGTTGTTTCTTTTTTTGACGTCTCCCATTTGGCTTTTTTCTCACAATCTGGCTCCATGAGCGTGCCATAAATTAATTTGTCAGAGCTAGTGAACTTTCATCAGAGAACCTCAAGACTGAATTTCTCTGAAAATTAGAAACAGTAGACGAGCTTGTCTTGTCTTGTGTGAAGAACCACTGAATTGGGGGGGAAAAGTTTATTGAAGGAAGATAAAAACACAGACTAGTGAACAATTTTAATCACATTTCAAGATTTCATCAAGTTTCTTGCTGACCGGCGTTGGCGATCATGCATCTCTACAATCCGCGATCCGCAAATACGTGTATCAGTTTGTGTTCTCACGTCCTTCCATACCTTGACAAAAGGCGGTCAGGAATCTTCTAGCACTGTCTTCCTCTGTCTCTCTTTCTACATATTTTTCCAGTCGTCACAACGTGTTCCATTTTTCCTCTTCTAATAACATGACCAAGAAAATGACGACTCTCTTTTTCTGATGTTTGTGATCAGTTGTCTTCAGTTACTCGCCTCTTTCAGAACATCTCATTTGCTCTTCTTAGCCCTCCAAGGAATTATAAGGATTCTTCTCTTTAGCCACATCTCCAAGTCCTCAGGATATTGTTCTAGTTGTTAATAAATTGTCAAAGATCCACAGCCGTATCTTAAAACTACTCGATATATAGCATGCGAACATTATTCTCCTAACATTTGATGACATGGATTTTTGCACAAAATGTTCTTTATTTTACCAAATGCAGTTTAGGCCTAACTGGTTATTTATCTCTGTGATAAATCCTCCATCGGATGTTATCCATGTGCCTAGATACTTACATTTGTGTACTTGTCCTAAAATAACGCCGTTTTTGTTTTTGTGTTTGTTATACATTTAGGAACTATTATTTCTTTTTTTAATCACTATTACATCACATAGAGATTTAACAATATAATAAAGTAACTTATAGGAACAAGTTGAAGACAGGCCGGCATTTGGTAGACACAGATTTCTGGGAGGATAACATCTAGAAATTGCACCAGCAGCAGTCTGAGGCAGGGAGGGGGAGGCGCCAGACTTAGTAACTTGGGCCTCCTTGAGACCCCCTCGCACCCCCAT